TGCTGGGGTCTCGGCTGTAAGGCTTTCCCTTGAGCAGGAAATACTCTGCTCCGTCTGCTGGGGGCGAGGCGGGGAGGACTTCTGTTGGCCGAGTGCGGAAGTTTTATTCAAGCGTCTGAGCATTTGCAAACTTAGAACACAGGCAGGCGACACCCCAGCGGTGTCCCAAAGAAGGATGAAAAGCTCCCAGTTCTTAAAGTAAAAGTTATATCCTGCAGGATAGCCAGCCCTGCCTTGTTCGCTCTTTTTAAAAAAATATCTGTCATTGATTCTTTTTAAAAAAATATGCTTTTTTTTCCTTTTTATTGATTCAAGAGAGAGAGGAAGGGAGAGGGAGAGAGAATCATAGATCGGCTGCCTCCTGCACGCCCCCTACTGGGGGGTCGAGTCTGCAACCGGGCATGTACCCTGACCGGGAATCGAACACCGACCTCCTGGTTCGCAGGTTGACGCTCAACCACTGAGCCACGCTGGCCGGGCCTGCCTTGTTAGCTCTTGACTTGGTCCAGCACAGCTGTCAGTCAGATGTCAGGGGCTGGCTGATGGGTGCCCTGTGCTTTGGAGGATGGGTGGCTGGAGGTCTGCTCACATCCTGAGTCCTTTATGGGGGCACCTGAAGGTCCAATGTATATCCTCACGTTGACTCGCAGCAGACTGGTGCGTATGTAGGCATGAGTGCAACGCTGGGAAGTTCAAAAGTTTAAGTTCTCAGGCTGGTTCCGGCGACTGAAAGGGCTGTTTCCTCATACCTCAGCGCTCGCCTGGTCGATAACTTAGCAGCTCAATGAAAACGACTCCGTTTTGTATTTGCCCTGTTTTCGCTCTTTGCTTTGGGATGAGAAATACTGACCTGGTCTTAAAAATGTGGTAGAAACGATGGGTTATTATTTCTTTTTTTAAAAATTTTTTTAAAAAATATATTTTATTGATTTTTTACAGAGAGAGGAAGGGAGAGAGAGAGTTAGAAACATCGATGAGCGAGAAACATCAATCAGCTGCCTCCTGCACATCTCCCACTGGGGATGTGCCCGCAACTCAGGTACATGCCCTTGACCGGAATCAAACCTGGGACCCTTCAGTCCGCAAGCCGACGCTCTATCCACTGAGCCAAACCGGTTTCGGCAACGATGGGTTATTAATGCAGAGACTGGTGGGGAAGAAACGCCAGCAGCCCGGCCGTCTCCTGCGCCCGGTGTGTGCACTGACCCGAAACCCAGGAAACAGCTGTTTCATCACGTTAGTGACCAGCCCTCTTCCTGCTCTGCTTCTAGTCTCTTAAAAGTGGGACAGGTCGTTGTTTTAAAAATATATATTTTTATTGATGTCAGAGAGAGGAAGGGAGAGGGAGGGAGAGAAACATCAATGAAGAGAGAGAAGCATTGATCGCCTGCCTTCTGCACGCCCCACACTGGGGATCGAGCCTGCAACCCGGGTGTGCGCCCTGACTGGGAATCAAACCGTGACCTTCTGGTTCACGGGTTGATGCTGAACTACTGAGCCACTTCGACCGAGCTAGTTTATTGTTGTTTTTTACTCGTTTCTGTCCTGTCTCAAGCCCAGAGAAGTGTTACTAACACAGAAGGGAGGGACGGACAATGAGAACAGCCGCGCGTATGGAGTGCGCTGGAATGCCGGGACGTTAGACACAGCAGTTCTTTTTGTGTCTGTGTGATGATCACCCTCAGACGGACTTCTTGTATGAGGTCAGCTTTTTACCGAGTGCTTTTTTCCTCAAATGACCCGCACCCACGCGCACCACACATTGCGTCTCTGTGCAGCGCACTGTCCTTGGGAAGGGGCTGCTTGGAGCTCTCGGCTCATTGCCCCTTGAGGGACTAGAAGTGAAGGGCAGAATGCGCTGTTGACGGATGATCAGCCTGGGGCTGGGCGGGGGGGC